GCTTGGGGGCGGGGGGAACTGTTGGTCACAAGTGAGGAGCACCAGCAAGGCTGAGGGGAGTCGGGGGCTGTGAGTTGGGAGTGAAGGGAAATGGAACGGACAAGGGCAGGGCACCAGCATATCAGGGCTGCTCAGCACCACAAAGCAGCAGGGGGGACAGCCATAGTTGGACCCACATCCTGGTGAGCAAAGGGAGTAGAGAGCTCTGATTTTCCATAGCAAAAAAAAATCAAAATGCCACTATATACAGGTATGTAGAATGTATTTTATTATAATGATTGAGGCAATGATAGGCTTCTGAATTGTTTTAAAATTGTAAATATATCAATAAAACATTATCTTCAATTGATACCTATCTATATATCTCTATATAGCAGTGTTTCATTTTAATCATGGAAAAAACATGAATTTGGGGGGTTTAATCAAAGATTTTTGGATTTTTAATGAGTAAACCAGGATCCCTGCTAATGACCAAGTGAACAGCAGTATACAGCAGGCTATGTGGCAACCAAAACCCTCCTGCAAGATATTTTTTCACACTTCCAAAACCTGTTATCCTGGAGAGCACAAATCTGTTTATGAGACTATGAAAACTGTTTAATGCTTCACTAAATGAGTGTTCACTTAAAGTTCATTTAATATATAAAATTGACTATTACATTTATTTTAGATGATACTTAGTGATGCCCCACCCCTTACACACCACTCTCTAGCTTACTTCCCTCCCATACTCAGGGTGTGGTGGACAGTAAGCCTCACAACACTGGGAGGTGGGAAATAAGCTTAGCTTCATTTTACAGACAGGAAAAATTGAAGCACACAGGGAAGGGACTTGTTCAATGTCACAACACAAATTAGTTTTACATCTGAACTCAGGAGCCCCAGGCTGTCTCCATCCTGTCTCAGACTGTTAATACATTACTGGCTCTAAGATTGTGAAGCCTGCAGTACAAATGACAACTGTAAAGCTCCATGACGGAGCCAGTAGGTATGAATCTAAAGTAAAGCCCATGGATATTATAGCATCAGCAGGCAGTGCTGGATCCAAGCAGCCAGGCTGTCATGCTGGGACCATTAGGTCATGCCATACCCCCGCAATATTAGAAGAAAAGAAGAGGTTAAGCTCTGCTCCAGTTCAAGCCATTTGTGTGCAGCCCTCAGGGTCCTGGCATACTGTCATTACTGCTTCAGTTGGGCAATGCCTGGGTGTCCCTATTAGTACATTCCACCAGAATTAGCCCTTCAATGCTGCTGACAAACTCGTTATTAAAAACAATTTCTGTCCTGATCAAATGAACAAACCAACCCAGCTGGAATATTCACCCAGCCACCACTGAAGCAGCTTAAAAATCCTAGAGAGAAGATGGAGTCTCCAGCACAGGGGAGCTGCTGGGAGCAAATTCCAGTAACTTGGGAAAGCGACAGTATGGGCACCTACACATATGACAGAGCTCTGCTCCGATTAGCACACATCAGAGTAGACTCGATTAATTGAGTCTACTGTGAGTCTGCTGAAACGTGCTAATTAGTGCACTCCAGCAGCCTCTGCGTCACATGTATTCTGTGTCCCCACATTTCAAAATGGTTGAACAAGCTTTGGTTAAAGCAACCCCACTGCCATTTTGAAGCGTGGGACACTGAATACACGTGACACTGTGGGTGCTTTAATATCCAGGGGTCAAAAAAACCCATGGAAAACAAAAGCAGAGCAGCGCACACAGGGGCAGCATACACCACTCAAAACCAGAGCATGGCCAGCCAGAGCCATACTGCGGCTGCCAGTCAGACTCTGAGTGGCAGGATCGCTGCTGCTGCAGCCCCAAGGAGGACCCCAGGTAAGGCTACTGGGGCCATCCCAGTGCTGGCCCCAGTCTCCCCTACCCCACCCTGGACAACTAGCCGTGTACCAGAGGGCGCATGGCACAGACATTCCCTAGGGACAACTAGTGGTGGCACAAGGTGCACCACTGCTAGATGTCCCCTGGGAACCAAACATCCACACACATGTGGATGCAGCCTAAAAGTACAGCAGCAAGCAAACCAATAAAAATCACTGTCACTCCAACTTTGCTCCCTCTCCACAGTCTCCAAATGCAAGAGGGGAACGTGTATGCGGGTACAGCAATATAGCTAAATAGTTCTGATTTCTCTGAGCAGAAATTTAAAATGCTGCCATAACCAGTCAGACTCTTCTTTCTTTCAAGTTCATTTGAAAAATCAAATCACTTCATATCATGCCAGTTCACAGGTAATGGAACCATTTCCATCAGTCGTTCCCTAGACCTAACTTCTAGCTACTTCTAACAAACTGCCACTGGGATGCTTAACACAAAAATAATGAGAAACCATTCTTGGCATTTTTCTAGAACTTTTCATCCACAGAGCTCTAAGCAGGTCCAGTTTCGTTTTATGGATTACCTCTATTTTACAGCTGAGAAAATAGATACAGTACAGCTGACTCAGCCAAAACCAAATAGCAAATTGTTGGCACAGCCTGGAATAATACCCAAGTCTCCCAAATCCTAGTCCGGAGCTCTGCCCCAATGAATCATGTTACCTTGTACACTGTCTATGGAGGGATTAAACCCTCCCCACCCCCTTAATTTTTTTTTTTTTTTTTTTTTACAAGTTTTGCCATTGTGCTACATTTGAAATAAGGCTAAATCCAATAACCCCATGAAAAAGAAGTAATTGAATCCAGGGAGTCCTTAACAATTAAGCCAAATTAGGGTAAGACATGCATCAGGCATTCAGTATTTATATCACTGCTTACAACTGGAAGCAATCTCACGGCTCTGACTGTTTCAAACACCCCATCCCACGATTTAAACTTCTTGTCTACTAGAAGGGAAAGGATACCTGTAGACGTGCTCCTCTTCACTGGCACGGGAGGAAGGAGAGCTGATGCTCTCTCTGGGAACAGAAGCACTGGAGCTTTTGACAGCAGAGCTGTACACAGGAGACTGGGACTGAGGCTGTGGAAATAAGACTGGTTCAGCATTTTCAGCCTCCAATATAAGCGCATACACAGCAGTGAAGTCACATGCTACGAGCTCAGTACAGAGACCAACAACAATCAGCTCCATGACATATCAGCCCCAGCCCCCACCACCTCAGCTAACCCAGCAAATGTCTCATGCTCATTCTACCCTTGCCTAAGAATTATGTCTGAGCCAGACACCCCCCAACCTGCTTTCTACAGGCTGCAAGGTGGATGATTAATTCTAGTCACATTGTACTAGAATAGGGTTTTTGCCAAAACCATAGGGTTTTTGCCAAAACGCTGATGATGACAGGGCTTCAACTGGTATTTTATCATTGATGCAGAATACCGGGTGCCTAGGCTTTCTCCTCCCACAACTGCACCATCTTGCTGGGTATCCAGACTTCTCCCATCTCTACACTATTCCTGTCTGGAGGACACCCAAACTCGTCCTCACTCACTCCCTAAAACTCTTTCCCTTCCTCACACCTTCCATCACCCTAGATACACCCAAGCCACAGATGCAGGCTCCCATACCCTCCCTGCAGCACATATACACTTACCTGCTGGTGGATATATCTGGAGGTAGTGGGTTGCCACTGGTCTAAAGGGTCAATCACAGTCCCATTCAGGGCCTCACTAGAAGGAGGTGGTGGTACAGGGGGTGGCACTGTAATCTCCTGGTACGTATGGTTTCCAGTTGGGTAGGAATAAGGGGTCTCTTCTGACAGGAACACTGGCCGTTTGGAGATATGCGAGGTGGTGGACTCCAGGTCCGCTAGCAAGGCATCTGCAGAGACAAAATATGAACAGCCCCTTAGTCGTGGCTACATACAGTCCAGCTGTGTTTTTGCTCTCTTGTTCTGAGATTTTTTTCATTGCAGCTCCTGTGGGCAATTCGTTGTATGCCCTGAAAAGCCTGGGATAAAGATGCCATTTTCTAAAGCCCAGTCCTGAACGGGTTAATACAAAAACTTCTGCTAAAGGAAACACCAAGAGGTCCCAGAGAAGCCAGAAAAAAAACTCTCGTTCTAGGATTTTGTCCCAACCGTGAACAGCCAGAAGCCTTCGATCTCACTGCGTTTTGCAGTGGTGAAACCCGGAAGCAACCTGCCCAGAGAAAGCCTCATGTCAGGGTATTGACACCAACAAATTAAAGGCTGTGTATTATCATGAAATCATTAAATGTGGCCGCAAATGCTGCTTTCTGCAGGAAACAAGATCTCTGGAGGGGTTTTTCTCCGGAGCTCAAGCTGGCATAATAGAGACTTAAGTTTCAATCAGGGCACCAGCAAGCATTTGTGCTCAGCCTCCCCCGACAAAAAAAATTCCTCACTCAGCACAGAGCAAACCGCACAAACGGTTAACTGGATTCCCATGCCTGCCAGGTAAATGCAATTTCATCTCCTGGAAACAATTCTCAACTCACTGGGTGGAGACTGCTCACAAATTCCTGAAGGCAAGAAAAAACCTCCATCAGTTAGAAACACACACACTAGCATGCTAAACAGAGGGGAGCACAGCGGAGGAGGGTTATACCGTTCACAAGAACCTCCAGACTGGAGAAAGATATTCACTTTCATCTCTGAGATGAGATGAGATGAGAAAAAGCACTGCCATCATTCCAGCTCTCTTACACTCTGCCCTACCCAGGCCAACAGTTCTGCTTCTCACGCTGACTCACAGACATATCCCAACTTGTTCTGGGCATCCTGTCCTGTGATCTCTCCCAAGGGCCTGCTGCAATTCTTCCCCAATAATAGAAAGTCCAGGGTCCACTGCAGGTCTGGGCTGTACTTGTTTTCTAACCAAAGCCTTGCTGGCTGGGTGACTAACCCTGCAGAGGAGTGGCCGACTTCAGCGTACACCTCTTCAAAACTATTAGAAAAAAGGAGCTGGTCTGCTAGGGTCAGATGCATTCTTCATTACCAGAACATCATTCAAGACAGGTAGGACAGCTCAGAGATAGGAGCTGCTGCCAGAGTCCCGCTCTGTAACACCACTCATGTAGGATTAAAAGATGCAGCTGCCTCCAGAAGCTCCTTTAACTGCCCTCCTCCTGCAAGCTACATGGAAAATACAGCTAGATTGCTAGGACTCAGACAAAGCTCATCTTCAAGCCACAGGCTGGCCTCAAATAGCAGTGACAAGGCACTCCAGTGACGCTGTACTGCCCTTAAGCACGGAAGTCACTTGCCTCCTCAGAAACCACTTGCTAAATTGAGCTGCTCACACCAGCCAAACACATTCAGCTACCCTTGAGGGTGTAGCAAAGGGTCAAATAGCCTCTAAAGGATAACAGCATTGCAACATGCACACAGACATGGAAGGTGCAGCTTCCCCATTCCCCAAGAGCACTTCCCCCCCCATGGATCAAAGTTAAAGCCCTGGCAGAGAGGATGGCACATTAAATTAGTTCTACACCTTGAGTTTAGCCCAAAAGATGCTCCAAATCATCCGAACCACAATCGTCTTCCTGCAGTACCCAAAATATCCCAGAAACAGATTACCCAGAGAAACAGGCTGTCCACAGCTGGGAAGTCATCAGTTCGACTTTTTTTTTTTTTTTAAGCAAAAGAACAGCTGGTGGATTCCAGAACGCAGGACACGTACCGCAGGGAGCCGCTGAGGAGCTGCAGTTGCTCTGACCAGGCAAGTCCTATGATGATGTGGTTCCGTGTACATAATTTCCTGTACAAGTGCTATCAAAGAAGGTGCGGCTCTTTCATACATGCACTTCTCTCTACTAAAGCAAATCAAGCTCCACCAGAAAGCAAGAAAACCATGGAGACTCAAACCATAGGATTTTCAGTCTCAGAGCTGCAAAGAAGCAAGACTCCTGTCCCTGGTGATGTGAATACATCTGTACTTCACTGCTTTTCTCCTACTAAGGGACAAGCACAAGTAACCCCCCTTCCTTACCACGGAAATAACTCTTCATAGCTTTCTCACCCGTCAATGAGAGGCTGGGCAGAAGACCTGCCAATTTCTCTTATTTCATAAAACTAAGTGAAACTGGCTCAGTGAACTTGTTTAGCCCTGTGCATTTGGGCACATGTATGGGGTGGGGAATCTGGACATGACCACTGTACTCAGCCTGTGAAAGGGTTAAGGAGCAGACATTACACTTTAATGATTAACTCCCCCACTCCCATACCCTCCCTCTTCCTGACTTGAGCAAACACTGCAGAGCTGAGGAACAGGAAGCTGAAGGAGGAGGGGAGAAGGACTGGAGGGGGAATCACTCACAGTTACTCAACCAGAGACTAAGGGCTGGTGACAAATTGTGCTTCAGCTTCAAAAGTGATCTGGAAGCAGTTACGCATCCCCTAAAGTCTGTACACATTGGGAAACTAAGACAGGGAAGTTTATCTGCCCCCTCCAGAGCAGAGAGATCGCCACCCAGGACTCATTCTAACAATCGGCACAAGAGCAACGCTCAGTCCATAAGCTAACCTCAGGAGAACATCAAAAATCCCGCTATCAACAAAGCAAATGATTCAATCTTTCTTTTTTTTTTTATACAGTTTCTTTCACCACCAAAGTGCTCAAAACACTTTATGCCTGAGGTTTATGTCCAGCTGAGACACAAACGTGACCCTCTCTCAATGACACAGAAAAACAGGCAGACTCCTGCTTCGAAGGGAAAACTGACTCAGATCTCACACTAACTCCCAAAGAGATAACAGGGCCCAAGTAGTCATAGCTTGCCACACTGTGCCAGACTTTGGGACAACATCATGAGAAGTAGTAGCTCACCACACAGGCTGCTCCTAAGGATGTTAAAAGCTTCAGCTGATTACTTGGTTAATGAAGGGGTTCCCTTCTTTGTGCCCCCAGCATCCTCTCCTGGAACAGACAGCACCAAGTGAGGTAAGGATAAAACATCTTCACTGAATAATTTCAGCGTGTTAATGGATGCCGATACTTTATACCACTGCTGGCCAAGAGAGGGCATCATTACATCTCTACACTCACAGCAAGGTGGAACTTGATCGAGCATTTGCTAACTTGGCAGCAACATAGCTCTCCACTTGTTCGGCTCCGAAGAGCCAGGAATCTGCCCTTACTGCCAGCTCGTGCACTGACCTTCTGTCAAGCCCACTTACATTGCAACAGCGAACCCTGCAGAAGCCTGCACCCATGATCCAGCGCACACTGTTGAATTGCTAGGACTGCAACCCGAAATGTCAGTAATCACAGCACACATAGCAATAATGTTACAGTCTGACTTTTGATTTTAACATTTCCTGTTGGAGAATTTCTAGGGTAGAAGTAGAGCTTTAGCAGGTAGAAACCCTCCAAGCTCAAAAAGGGTCAGAGGCTTCCTTCCAGGGAATGATTTTGGCACTCTTGTAGCAACTGGATCGGTACAATATAATACTAGAATATCAGTTCACTGTGTCCTCACAGGAACACCCTTTCACAGGAAACAAAAAAGGAGGGCAGGCTCTCGGTTCTCAAGAAAAGAGGAGACAAATGTAAGGTGCCTTGCAAACCAAACTCCCACAGATTCACTGCACAAGAGACCTGGGGGCAAATGCAGTGAATCAACACTGTCCACTTACCAGTTACTAAACAGAAGCATGAGAACCACAAAGAAAACTATAGCTAGAACTACCCTCTAACATTGGGACTTCCATTTTCACTCTCCTGAAGTCAGATCTCTTAGTACTAACTAGTACTGCTGTCAGACAGGATGTGTAGAAAAGGGGGAACCTACCAAAATGATACTGATCTGTGCCAACTCTACCCTCCATCCACATCACTCCACTCTCACAGCTTGTAAAATACTGAATCAATTTTTAGAGATGAAAGACAACTAGGCAGCCCCAACACCCAAGCTGTGAGACGGCTTTACAAGGTTATACCTTGCTCTGTACACACGTGGATTCTCTCTCCAAGGCCACTAGACAGTTGACTGCTGACCTTGGCCAACAGTACACGCTGAGCCAGCTCATAAGCTAGAAGCAAACAGCAACCTAACTAGCTTTCCTGTGGCAAATCAGATGGGAAAAAGGAGGAGCCCTTGCTTGATCAAACCAAGCCTAAAATGGACTCCAGCTTCAGCTCAGAGTGCATGCCTCACTGATTTCAGAAGGCAAAGCACTCACATTCAAGCAGTTATTCTCTACCAGTTTTCCTGTGATATGAGGGATACTTAATGAATGATTGAAGACATGATACCAGGTATTACGACAGCACCCAGTCACAGTTGGGCACTAGGACCTCAGCTGGCCTTTCCATCATGAAACATTGCCAATAAATAATAATTATGCACTGCAGTGTCCCTGCTATTCTGATCTTTGAATCCCACAAGCAGCTCTGCCAATAGAGTTTGTTACCAACTGGTGGCTCTTAATATTGACTGCATTGCCTCAAGGTAGTTCCTGGCAACTGCCAATGCTGTCAATTATTTCAACTGTTGGGAACAGCGGTTCTCAAGGTGTGGTACATGCAGCACAGGGTCAGTTATACGGAAAGAGACATGTAGAGTAAGGATTGAGACATCAGGCCCACCACAGGATTTGCCTTATAAATAGGCAAAAAAGATAGAGAACTTCTTAGCATAAGTCTGCTACCAGTCCAAACAGCTCCACAAGTGTTAATCATCTCCAGAAGCAAGGCAAAGTTAGACACTGTACATTCCTGCCCTATCTCCCCTGCACTGCACTTGCACACGCGCACCCCGATGTCAGACAGAAGAATAGCTCATGCATTCCAAGGACTCTGATGCAGCTTCCCCTGCCATTCCCTGCATGTCAGCACTTGCTGTCCTGAGAACACAGTATCCTCAGGCAGAAGCAGCTCTACAAGCAGCCGCAAGGGCAAATGCCTAGGCTTCCCACACCCCAGGTTTGTCTGATGAAAGCATAAATGCCAGACTAAGATATCACAACAGCACAAAAAAACAGCACAAAACACTAGATTTGACCATGTTGAAAAATCCACAAGTGAGACACGAATTGGCCTAACCTTATTCTACACTGAAAACCAATTATGCACCAACCCAGCCAAAACATAGGTATGTGCCTGCCATCTGACAAACCATGAGGCCAACTGCCAGCTCAACGTTATGTAGTCCGGGACCCCACTATCCAAATCCATTTTACCTTGGAGTCACCCTTAAGCAAACCCTCTCATACAAAAAACACAACATGAAGACAACAGCAAAGGTGAGCACTTGTAACAACCATTCGAATCACTGCTCTGGCTCTCAGCGTCTCCTCTGCCGAGTATGCATGTCCTGCATGGGAGAGATCCATACATGCTGAGCGCCTTGATCCTGTTCTGAATGATAGCTACTGGTGCCTCACAGGATGCCTGAAGCCTACCAGCCTAAACGGTGTGTATTTGCTGCCTGGCATCATTCCACCTGACATCACAAGAGCAGTGACCAGTAAGATAAAATGATTGAAACAAACAGAAGATGCAAGGCACACGTGCAAGGCGCCATCCTGCAGCACACGTCTGAAGTCATGCAGGAGCTTCCTCACCAGCA